GTCCTTTGGAGACTACCGAATATGATACCCCCAAGATCATTGCGGACCGCAACATGGAAGCCAAAGATCCCATTCATACCGTTCACGCGTTCGATTTTGTCAAGATGCGCCTGCAGGATTTGGTGAACAGGGTCGGAGGTGAGCAGGCCTTCCAGGAGCAGTGGGCTGTCAATGTAGATAAAGAGGTGCTGGACAAGTTTCAGCAAATGGCTTCTGGTGTTCAGCAACAGCAGCAACAGCAACAGCAGCAACAGCAACAGCAGCAGTAAGATAATATCATTCAGCATTGGATTAGAGTAGCAGAAGATTACGATGATGAATTGGGAAATGATACACCAGGGATTGGTTTGCGTTAAGATTAGACCATTGTTAACGGTTTCATACAGATGGTTAAAGATTGCTATGAAGGCTTCTCTCAATAGCTGTTAACTCAGTGAATTGAAATATCAGCAACATGAATCTATCACTTGGGCCAAATATCGCCTACAGCCGCCATCTATAGCTTGCTCTGTCCCTCCTCAGGTATCTTAATAACAACCTTGCCCCAAGTCCCCCGGCCACCAAGAGCCTTCAGCGCAGCCCCAGTTCTCTCAAGACCAACAAACTCCTCATCAGTATACTCAGTACCTCTGAGCTTACCCTGCTTGACAAGATCCATGATGCCATTCCACACCTTGGGTATCGTCTCCCTCTCATGGATAGAGTATGCTCCCCAGTGAAGTCCGACAATAGAAATGTTCTTAAGAAGAACCTTGTTCATGGCGACCTTTTCGATCTTGCCAGCTGCGAAACCGATAACGAGAATTCGGCCGTTCCAGGCTGTGCACTTTGTAGAAAGGTCGATCAGACCGACGGGGTCGTAGACAATGTCGACTCCACGAGACTTAGGAGTCAAAGCCTTGACCTTAGCGGGCCATGTAGCGTCGTTATAAGAGATAACATGGTCGGCGCCATAAGACTTTGCAATGTCGAGCTTATGCTGTGTAGAAGCTGTCGCAATAACAGTCGCGCCAAAAGCCTTGGCCACTACTTCATGTCAGTTCACGATCTCATCACCACTCCTGAGAATCTCATACCTTGAACGGCTGCAAGGCCAACACCGCCAGCTGCAGCATGGACAAGTACGTAATCGCCCTTCTTGACACCAGCTCTCACAACCAAAGCGCCATAACTTGTAGGCGCAGTGACAAATAGACCAGCCGCCTCCTTGAATGACCAGCCGTCGGGAACAGGCAGGAGTGTCTCTTCTTTCGCCTTGATCTTTGTTGCAAAAGCGCCTTGCGATGCGCCAAAGACTCGCGATCCAACAGGAAACTTGGGGTTGGAGCTACCCTTGGGTGTGGCGACGACGGTACCTGCGAATTCGGCGCCGGCAATCCAGGGAAAAGCTTTATGGTGTTAGTATTCTGTGAGTGATGGCTTGAGTTGATGAGCTTACGGGGTTGGTTTTGATATTTTCCTTGGATTTGTAAGATATCGAAGAAGTTGGCGGCGGCGGCGTGAACTTGGATGAGATACTCATTGTCTGTGGGCTTGGGATCGGGAAGATCTGAGACCGTGAGCTGGTCAGGGCCCTTTTGATTTTGTTAGTGTATCTGACGGAAGCGATTGGTGACCTTGGAAGCTCACCTTGAGGTATTCGGTAATTTGGATGCCGCGCATGATGGATATGGTGGTGGATATGTGCTGGCTGAGTATTATGAGTGTTGTTCCGTCGGTAAACAATCGGAGGTTATCGAGAGTTGACTAAGAAATCACGATATATAGTTTACAAATGGCAATTGGAGGAGAGATCGGAGATGTCGCAAAAGAAAACCAAAAAGAAAAAGAACAGATTTAATAGCTGACGTCGGTTACCTTGTCGCGGCCAGAGTCTGGGGTTACGCGGGGAAGAGATCCATGAGCCGAGGCATCTTCCCCCGGCGATCGGCCCCTACTTTAGTTAATTGATAGTGGACTACTCCGTACACCAATACCAATATGACCACATCAACTTCCATGATAACCTTATTAGCAAGCTAGCTTCATGAGTTCAGCTATAATCAGAGTCATGACTAATTACAAATCACATTAAAACAAGTTGTGAAGTTCGAAATACTCTCTGTTCCATACCTGATATTTATGACCACACCATGCTTCACCTAGAGGATATCTCCCCAATCAACCTGTATTTCTCAGCTTGTCTCGCCAGTCTTGACTCGAATACCCCTCCCAACTGAAGTGAGCAAACCCTGGATTCTAATCCCCAAAATCTCCGCACTGGGCCTCTCGTTCAAGGTCCGCTAAGCAAATGCTCAATGGCGCCCTGGACACTCCCGCCACTTCGACGCAGGGCCGCAACATTGCGGTCAAAGTCAAAGAAGCCCATATCGTTAAGCTGGCGCAATTGCTCAGCGTAGCGCTCTTCCGGAGGTCGGTTATCAGTAGGGGCCGCAGGAGCCGAGTTCAATCCACCACCACCAAGCATTTGCATCATCTGCTGCATCATCTCGGGGTTCATGCCAAAGGGGTTGTTAGGCTGTGCGCCAGCTCCAGGAGGAGGGAAGAGCGCAGCGAATGGGTTCGCGGGAGGTGGGCTAGTGGTTGAGCCCTGCTGCGTGCCACCTTGGCTGGGCGTTGTTCCAGAGTTTTGCGCATCGGCCGAACTGTCCGTCGCTCCTTGGCTAGATGTGTTACCTGTGCCAGTCTGTCCCGTCGCTGTCTGTCCCTGGCCGACGTCTCCGTACAGTGAGCGAAGTCCCTGGAGCTGCTGCATCAGCTGAGCCATGTCAGGAGCGTTGCCTCCCTGTTGGCCTCCCAACATGCCTGAGAGAAATGGGTTGGCGAGAGGGTTTGCCTGGCCTTGTTGACCCTGCGTATTTCCTCCGCTGGCTGCGGCCTGGGGTGTGGTGTCGGTAGCACCGGGAGCTGGGAAAGCTCCAGCCTCTCCTCCTTGCATGCTTCGCTGCATACGCATAGCCTGGCTCATCATCTCGGGGCTGCTCATCATCTGTCGCATAAATGGTGATGTAATGATTTCTCGGGCGTTGGGAAGGTTTCGAAGCATAGGGTTCGAATCGATCAGCATATTGATAAAATCGGGATTGTTAAGAGCCTCGTTCATAGATTGTTGAACGTTGGGATCGGACATGAGTCGTTGAATTCGTGCCTCGTCCATTGGAGCGCCCATCTAGAAGTATGTGTCAGCAACAGTCGACATCTACAGTGCATCATACGTACACCACCGTCGGGCCCAAACATATCCAGGCCGGGAAGGCCATTCCCGAATCCAGCATACCGAGCACCAGTCAAGTTGGCAAAAGGTTGGTTTGCTGTGCCTGAAGCCATGTTGGTAGGGGCGGAAGTCGATGTGGAGGTGTTGGCGGTGGGAGTTTGATTGGGCTGCTGATTGCTGGCAGCGCTCTTGACCATGTGGATTGTGTTGTTGTGCTTAATCTTGTAAGTGCTCAGAGCATCATCGTTCTTCATGACTCTGCCAGAGTAGATGAGACGCTGTCGTTCAACGGGAATGTTCTCAAAGTCCTCTCCCGCGAGCTTAGTCTTGAGGTCGAGGACAGTTGCTGTATCGTTGATAGTGATGCTATGCGTGCTGTCTGAGGAAGTCTTCACCTTGAAGGTGATCTGAGAGTCAGCGCTCGGCTCGGGGTTGTCAGCCATTGTGTAGACTGGCGATATGGCGTGGCGCGGCGCAACGAGGGGGTCGAATAGCGATAGCGGCGGGGGTTGAGGATGGAAAAGAGCGGGGAGGGAGCTCTTGAGTGCAGAAGCAGGTTATGAGCGATCTTGAGAGCTGTTCCCAGATATGCTGTTACTGCTAAATAGGTATAGTCTACTGCCTGGGGATGTTGGGAGGAAAGGTGTAGTCTCGGAAGTCAAGACGATGTTGAAGGCGAAGTTGGAAGCAGGTAAATTGAGCGAAGCCTTGAGAAGAAGTGGAGGGTAGACTAAACGTCAAGGCCCAGTCCCATACGCTAAGTGCTGAGTTACTCAATTGGATCAACTGCAGATGCAGGCGTAGGTAGGCGAAGGCGTAGGCGCAGGCAGCCTAGGCTCAGGTGGTATTATCAGTCGGTAGTGACGTGGGGCAACTTTTACTGCCAATGACGCGCTGTGGATAATTATCAAATAGAATGAAGGGTACGGAGTATGCAGAGTCGACGAAGCAGGGCAGGGTTTGGAGAAGTTATAAAAAGAAATATTCTGTAAATAGAGACTTTGTTTGCATGCGAGTTAAATGTTGTATCAAAACCTTTTTATGGGACAGGATCGTTTCTCTTGAAGGGTTTGGTTCTCTCTCAAGCATATAGCATATGAACACTTATCATCTTATTCCACCGCCGTCCATCATCTTCTGTGGCCAGATTCCAGTAATCACAGCCAAATCAACATCATTTCCGGGAGCTGCGGACTAGGTAGACCTCATCTCAACCTCTTTATCCGAAAAGGCGGACGTCATGTATTGACATTATTCCCCTTTTCGTACCTCCTCTGTGCCTTATGGGGGACACTTGTGGCTTTAGGCTGCACATAAACTCATGATTCAAGCACCCATCTCACTCTCGCAGCTTTTCGCTTCCGTTTGTTCAAAAAGGCTTAAACAGCGCAAAGTTCCGAAACAACGAGATCAGTTAGATGATTAGAAGAAGACTTTGGCAGGAGATCTCATTTTATTATACTCATCTTGACGTTCAATGCTGAACACACCACTCACTCACTCTACATTTTTATGAGGGTCCTGGGTTGATACAGGGTAACCAATCAGCGTGGGGCGTTGGTCTTGATCCCAATTGAGTTGAACTGCGAACATACCTAGCTTTACTAAACCATCTTCAACTCTCATCTGAAAGTTTCAATAAGATGCGTTCAAATCATTGACAGAATGGAATGAGCTGCATCGCCTAGAAGAAGATATACCATCTCTTTCATATATATATACACCAGCGAATGGTCAGAGTCAATATCAACACTGATCAATACCAGATAATGACCCCAAGTCCATCATGATTCAAGGCATCTTTTACGCCAGATTCTTCCCCCAAGAGGGTAAATACTCACAGACCAATGAGTTCATGTATCTTTCCTAATACCGCTCAGGCCCCAAGATCGTCGCACAGTCTCCCGCAGGCTGCATAACCCCCGTCGAAGGCTCAACCAAATCCCCTCTCATCGACTTCGACGTACTCCATGAATACATCATTCCTAGACAAGCCTTCTGCAATCGCTATCTCACCATCAACACGCCAGATGGGAAGTACACTGTCCTAGGATACCCAGTTGTCATTCCACACACCAAGTATCTTCGAAATGAGTTCATCTTCAACTTCGGCCTCGTGCTCGACGCTGATGTTGATCATGTTCCTTATGAACGCGTCGTTCGTGGTCTAGCCTCTACCTTTTCTGAGATGGAGAAACAGAACGAGTATCTGAGCCAAAATGCAGAGACTAAAGGATCCGGGAGGAGACCGATTGATAGTTTGCTCGAAATTGTCAAAGAGGATTTGGACAATTATGGAGAGTGCATGATTCCCGTTGGTAAGCTAACTTTGTCGCTGGATCGGACTTGATACTGATGAATTTACAGACGAAGCCAATACTATCAACATGAAGCTCTTCCCTCACCACATGGATCCTCCTAGGGTTCGAGGCTGGCATGTCCCTGTTCCAAAGGCCAAATTCTCTGACATTATGGATCCGACCTGGGACCTCACCCTCCAGAAAGTCATCTCTCACATCGACGGCGTCTCTGATGTTCGACGTATCGCCCACGCTGCTTCGGTCTCTCTTGAGCTAGCAAAGACCGCGCTCCGCCATCTCCTCTACTACGACACTATTCTACTTCTTGACATGTTCTTTTTCACGGCATGCTACGCTCCACGCCCTGGGATCCATGACTTTATCCGAAATGTTGACGGGATGGTTGATGAGTGTGCTGCATATGTATCTCACGGACGCGGCCTTGTGAGCAACTATCATCTTATCAAACTCATGTCCACCTTTGCTCCTGGAAAATCCGTCATGGAATGGCTCAAGGGGCATCAAGACACAGGTTTCGAAGTCCTTCGTTTTGTTGACGTTCGCAGATTCGTTCAGTTTGGCGTCATAAAGGGTTGCATATACCGCGTTCACAAATTCGTCGTCTCTAAGCAATATCTTGCCGCCTTAGCCTCTGGCCAAAGCCGCCCTGTCCCAGGAGGAGATCCACTGCAGAAGTACACAGATGGCTGTCATCACTTTGACCAAATCATCACAGAGCAGAACATGACGGATAGTGAAATTATGGAGAAACTCAAGAAGTTGCCAGTTCCAAAGGGGGACTTGGCAGTCTTTTATAGATAGATCCAGTTTCAAATCTCTATACCCATCATTTTTAACAATTTACTTCATATCCATGGTATCATGCAGATTACAATATAATACAGTGCTATATTACACGGCAAACACAAGCCGATTCTGCACAGGCAGCCCCTCATTTGCCTCTCCTGTCCCATGTTAGTTGAGCCCGCCTCTCACGCACATCGTGCTTATTGGGCAGCTCAATATTCGAGTTATTGGCAACGCTCAATTGGTTTTTCTTCCTCGAGGCAATTTGAGTAAGCTCCCTGTCTGATAATGAGCTACCCTTCGCCTCTACCTCTTTCTTCAGCTCGTCCTTCATTCTGCGCAAGAGACCAGTACCGGGCTGGCCAGGATAGATCTGGCCGCTCTTCTTCCACTCTTCATCGCTGATGAGCTCGACGATTCGGACGTTGTGCTTGCCCTTGCGCATGATGAGCATGCGGTCGTCGATGAGGAATTTGGAAGTCTCCTCGGGGAACCAAGCCTTCATGGGAGTCCAGGACAGATTGCCAGGGACGAGACCCCTCTTCTGGCCAGGCTGAGCAGCGATATAGGCGCCTTGTGCTGAAAGCAGACGTTGACCTTCACTGCTGCTGGATGCGAGACCGACAGCGTGGAGAATCTTTGCCGGTGAGGATTTCATGATGGAGCGAGGGAGTTGAATATCGCTTCTTGGGGCATTGTTGACAGTGACGATACCAGTGTCTGGAGTGGGCTCGTTGACAATACCCTTGGGTAGCTTGGTGCCGAATCGAAACTCGTGTTGCTTGGCCTCCTGAACAGCCCTCTGAGCTCCGTGAATAAGTGAAAGAACCTCGAAAGCCAGGGTGTGCTGGGCCTTTCGCTCCTGGGGTGCCGCTCGGTGCTCCTCCATTAGCTTGGAGATCTGCTCCAGAGGCATGAATGTGAACATCTTGAGCAAATTCTCAACCTCCTCGTCAGACCTTCTCACAAAGTAGCCGTACAAGTCGAATGCTGATGTTTTGAACTCATCCAGCCATATAGCATTGCCGGCACTTTTACCAAACTTGTTGCCGGCAGAATCTGTTAATAACGGAACGGTGAAACCAAATGGCTCATGATCCCAGGTTGAAGGCTTCTTCAAGTGAGGCGCCTCTTCGGTCTCGCGAATGGTTTTGAGGGCATCGATTCCCGCAGTGATGTTGCCATACTGATCTGAGCCTCCAATCTGCATCTGAATGCCAAGTTTGTTGTACATGTGCCAGAAATCCCATCCTTGAAGAAGAGGATACATAAATTCGCCGAGAGACATGCCGTCTCCTTCAGTCATCTTTCGCTTAACACTATAAGTCTTTGTTAGCACTCTGAATGGCAGTTTCTGGGTTTGAGGGCAACTCACGTATCCCTGGCCAGCATAGGTCCGATTCTCGTGTGCCTGGCTATCCTTTTGGCAAAATCGTAAAGAGTAAGGTTCCCTAGCCACATGTTGTTGTTCAACAAACGATGTGTGGCAGCCCAGTCCTCCTCATATCCGTACTTCTGTTTTAATAGGTGGACATTTTTCCATAACTTCGTCAATTGGACATGGATCTTTGTGATGTTCTTGGAAATATCGGAATTGGAAAGAATCGTTCGGCTCTCGAGTCGGTCGGTAGGATCACCAATACGGGCAGTCGAGCCACCGATCAAGGTGACAGCAGGATAACCGTGGAACCACATCCAGAACATGGGCATCAGCGGTAGCAAGTGACCGACGTGCATCGAGTCGGCGGTGGGATCGATACCGACGTAGGAGCCTATCCTCCTGACTCGCATGATTTCTTTGATCTTTTCAGGGGATCTATTGTATCAGTTAGATTCGAGTTGAGGATCGTGGGTAGTGTCGTATACCCTGCTATATCCTTGATATATCCTCTTTCTTGAAGGACATCCAATGTGTGTGGAATCTCGCCATTCTGAATCTTTTCTGCCCTCTCTTTCCATCTCTTCTCGCCTTCTGCAACTTTGTTGAGGTACGTCGTCGCGATGTTTCGAAATTGGAGGGACCGTTGTGCATTGAGGCATCTCGAATATATGGTTGTTCGTGAGGGCGCAAGTTTCGAGACGATGGCAGGGATCGCCATGGTGAACGGATTGAGCAATTGCTCAGGTGAAATAATTGAAAGGACAAAGAAAGAAAACGTCTCTAGGATCTAACTCTCCTCCAACTCAAACAAATCTGGGCATCATGGCTCGAAGCTGTTAGCCCAAAAAAATCCAAGCGACGTCGGATAGAACCTTCAAAAACTGACCAATCACAGGTAACATTGGCGAAACAGCGCTATTGGCTCCGTGACAGGCAGAGGGATCCACACCACAGGGAAACCTTCGGGACGCCTTGAACCAATCACGAAAGAGGTAATTCGAGATCCTCGGCAATGGTAGGACATCCAGTTCCGGGCCAGTTCGAATTGATTGAGGTTCAGTCGACATCATCAATCCAATTCTTCCTCTGAACCACTAACGCCCTTCGAAGCAGCCACCAATTGAGCGCCGCGACAACACCAGCAAGGATAGATCACTCAACGCTTCAAAATGGCCTCAATTGCGCGTTCCTCTCTGCTTAGGCAGACCGCTATGGCTTCTCGATTGGCCGCTGTCCCCGCGACCCGAAGCACTTTCATGCCTATGCCTAGCATCCGATCTCAGCTTAAGGGTGTCGCTGCTTTTCACAACACTGCTCGACGATCTGCTATCCTCCCTCCTGGACCTCGTGCGTACCAGTACCTCTGTTATAATGACCATATGCTAACGTATTCACAGAGCGCATCGAGGGTGGCGGTACGAATACATCCAAAAGCCGAATCGCAACTTGACCGGCTTCACATGATATGAATATCAATAACTAACACATACTCTAGTCAACGACCCTGCTCCCATCCCCGAGCCCAACGCCGCCCACGGCTCTTACCACTGGACCTTCGAGCGTCTCCTCGCCGCCGGCCTCGTCCCTCTGACCGTCGCTCCCTTCGCCGCTGGATCTCTCAACCCTACTCTCGACGCCATCCTCTGCAGTGTTCTCCTCCTCCACTCCCACATGGGCTTCCAGCAGGTTGTCATCGACTATATTCCCTCAAGGACCTACCCCGGCCTCCGAAAGATCTTCAACTGGCTCCTCAACATTGCGACTGTCCTCGTTGGTGTTGGACTGTATGAGTTCGAGACCAACGACGTTGGTATCACCGAGGCTGTCCGACGAGTGTGGAAGGCATAAAGCGGTTGAGCGTTGATTGGCGTGTGTAAGGTATGAAGGATGATGTTGAAAGTACTACTTGTCGCGCAGATTTGTGACTGCAGACACCTGTATAGAAAAATTTCCTTTGAGTTAACAAAGATTGCGTCAATTTCACATACGACGGCTATTTTACTTTTCTTCTGAACGTAAGGTTCAGGTTTCTGGCCTCCCACGCGTTTTGGCTTGTGAAATTCATAGGCTTTGCCAACACTTTCAGAGCCCAGCAGGGTGAAGGCTAAGAAGCAGCTGCGCAATATCAATTTTTATTGTTCAAGCTCGCTATTCTGTTCTGTACTAATTTCCGCAATGTCAAATCCTTGTCTCAGTCCAATCCAGCTGTCCGAGTTAGATAGTCAAAGAAGTAATCTCAGAGCCTCCAGCACGATCCATCTCGGGGGTGGGAGGAGGCAAGTTCTCTGACTTGGTGCAAATCCAGCAGCTAGCATACATGTTGACACGGTCAATGCAGGCTCCATCGAGGCGAGCACCATGTCGTTTAGGTGAGAAGCCATGAGCCTCAAACTCTTTGATGTACCATGGGGTCAAGGCCGAAGAACGGAGCAGCACACGACCACCCGTAGCCAAAGCTCGGTTAAGCTTAGTGATCTGGGCGGCAGCGGCTCGAGATCCAGTGTCGAACCAGTCCATGCTGTCCATGACGACGGCAACAGTCAGAGTACCGGGGGTGATGCGTGCAATAACCTCCTCAAGCTCATCAGTGTGAATACGGAGACCATCAAGAGCATTGGGACGAGAGAGTTTGGCGTGGGCCCTAGGGCTAAGATAATCGGGGTGACACTTGGGAGAGAACTTGCCATCCATGCAAACATAGTAGTAAGGGTTATCAGCGGCTATGTGAGTCTCCTCAGCGACAGGGTCAAGAGTGTTGACCATGTAGTGCCAAATAGCATGAGAGCGAGTGTTCTTTGCAGCAGGCTTAGGGCCCTTCACGAGGTCGGACTCGGCGTGATCAGCCTCGATCATGGCCAGCTGGTTCTTAGGAACACCAAGAGCAGCCCAGAGGAAGCTCTCCTGAGAGACAACCAAGTTACAGACAAGCTTGGAAAGAAGAGCAGGGCGGATCTTTCGTCGCCAGATTTCTCGCTGCTCGTTCAGAGTCTTCGCCTCAAGAAGCTGCTTCACAGCCTTCTGCAGACCAAAGATCCGGGCAATCCAACGGAAGACACGGATAGCGTGGCGAGAACCTCCGGTATCGTAGAGACCGTAACCACTGCTGTTCTGGAACACATGGACGTTCTTGAGCCAGTACTGGAATGCGCGGCCAGAAAGATGAGGAGAGAGTTTGGTGATGAGCAACTCACGGAAGTGGGGGTGCTTTCCATCTCCAAAGATCTTCCAGAAATCCTCATATGGGAGGGCAGTGTAAGAAGCAGCCTTGAGTTCGAGCAGGTGGTTCTGGGTTGGGTTCAAGTCTACAGCATGAACACGGGCAGGGCTTTGAAGGAGATACGATAGAATGTTGTCACCAGCAGAAGTAATGGCCAGGACCTTGTCGTCAGCACCGAGCTTCAAGAGTCGCTCATCCACACGAGTGTCCTCCCAAGTGAAAGCGTAGATGTACTCGTCCTTGAACTGAGTATGCTTGGGGAGCTGCTCATCGTAATAGATGCGCCAATGGTGGTTCTGGTAGAAGAACGAGGGGAGAGGGAGGTTGGAAGACAGATTCTGAACCGCAGTGAGGAACGCCTTGGATCGAATCTCAGGAGCAGACCTTTCAATGGCTCGAGTCAGGGCATCTCCGTGG